GTTGTCAGGCGATGGTGATCTGTGACTGCCTCGATCAAAGCTGAAGATACGCTACAGCTCTGTTGCGGTGATGTTAACTGGATGGAGGGGGGGTAAGAGTTAAATCAGCTAACGGGTGTTTTGGTGTTCTGCGGTACACGTTATCGGGGAGGAGTCATTAGTCTTGTCCTGATGGAGTGAACAAACTGTACCCAGATCCGATTACCGCTTTGGCAGCTGTGAAGTCTGTGCTCACATGACATTTTCAGGCGTCACCCTGAAGAAGCCCGTGTTTACAAAGGCTGGGGTGCTTCGTCTAGAGGATTACAAGTAAGTCCCGTGTCTAAACGGGAAACATACAAGTATTCCTCCCAGGAACGTGCTGTGTCTTGCTGTCATGTAAACAACATTCAGCACAAACATATATGTACACTTAGGAGAACTGGCCAGTAGTAGCATGATGATTGCAAAGGAATATAGTACAGAAGTCTGTGGCAAGACAGCGATTTGTACTTGTATCTTGAAACTTCTTAAACAAGATTTTTATTTTGGATTTGTTCATAGGCTCATCTAATGGATGTGAGAGAACTTCTTTTGCATTTTTGCGACAAGAACTTCCTGTGAGGTTTGCAAACATACTGAGAGAAATTGATCTTCTTCCTGATAAATTACTAGGCGTTCCGTCAGTACAATTAGTAAAAAGCTGGTAAGTAAGAACTACTTGAATTCAGCCTGTAAAATAACATAGCTTTGACAACTTGGTTGTCACAGACTTTTCTGACTAGTAGAAGACAATAACAAAATACAGTAGAAATGCAGATCCTTCATCAAAGCTGAACTGCAAGCTGTTATACACTGTCCTTTTCTAGCATACTAAAATTACATTGAAAAACAACATGGTTATGTTGTGTTTTTTTTTTTTTAAACTAACGGTTTGAAATAGCTGGTAGAGCAAATCTCACTTCTTACTCTTTAAGAAGGGAGAGAAGAAAATGTGTTCTGTTTCCACGTAGCGTTACAGACCCTTAGAGCGACACAAATATGGGAAAGCAGGCTATGTACTTGCTTGGGTCTCTCACTGATGGAATTACTAATAGAGCTTCCGTTCCATAGCATATTGCCTTGGCCGGCGCAGCGAGCGTTTGGAATTCACTTAACAGAATCTCTGCAGTTGACACAGTGGTTGAATCTGATTTAACCTTGCTTTACCGGCGCAGTTGCAGCATTTGCAAGGATGGCTGACATAAAGGGCAAAGGTATTAGAGTGAGATCCAGAAACTGTTCTTAATCTAGCAAACAGTTGTGCCTTTGCAATGTGCATCAAGGCTGTCGGATGTTAGCACAAGAGGCTCAAGTACTTAGCTTGCACCAAAGCTGATCAGATTTGAAAAATTTTGCTTAGATGGCTTCCTGATCAGTATTATCATTAGGATCTTCTTTTGAAACACTTCTCAAGAATTGTAAGGGGATCCTAAGTACCTAAAGTGAGCGTTTAGATTCCTTTCTGGGTGGCAAGCACAAGAAAAGACTTTTAAAACTTCTAGGATTCAGGCAGTCAAGAAGTGTCCATCTGTGATTCCATACTTGGATGGAGCTTTGATACTTCAAAGATACTTCAAACTTCTAGCTGACTTGTTAAGAGAAATGATATGGACAAGACAAAATATTTTCCCTGTTCCTAGACTAATAAAAATCAAATGAATAGCATGTATTTCTTGTGTTCTTTTTCAATAGGTACATCCAAAGCCTAAAGGAGCTGGTTGAGTTCCATCAGAAAAGCCCAGATGACCAAAAAGTCTTATCTGAGTAAGCTTTTCATTTGTTTCTTGGAACTTTTGATCTCGCATTCCACTTTTCACAATGTAGTCAGTTTAGAATGACAGTTGTCATGAGCTGAATTTGAAAATGTAGCATTGAAGGGCTGTGCATAGAGCAAGCTGGTTTAAATCTCTGATCATGCTTAGCAATATTCCAAATAAATATGACCCATTGCAGCTCGGTTTCAAGGGCATACTGCCCCTTGAACTGTCGTGACAGAGAAATATCAACAAAAATTATCTGTGATGTCACATCCCTGCTTCTTTCCAAGATGTCTTTTTCCCTTCCTCACATTCTCTTCTGCTCAAACTATTATGAATGGGTAAACAGGCAGTGAATTTGACATGGCTAATGATTACACCTTTTGTATTAAAAATATCAAACTCTTCTGGTTTAGGTCAGTGAGGAATTAATTTTAAGAGAATGAAAAAATAGACTGTATTTTAATATTAAGGTTGCTACGCACTGTCTGTGCTGCTGCTGGATTAGATAATGACATTGTACAAAGCTTGCCTCCATGTAGTCTTAGAATAATGTTCTAAGAAGATCTCTTTTTGACCTAGCTTTATAGATACATTAATTAGAGTCCGAAACAGACATCATGATGTGGTTCCTACAATGGCACAAGGAGTAATTGAATACAAAGACACTTTTAAAGTAGATCCTGTCACCAATCAAAACATTCAGTATTTTTTGGATCGTTTTTACATGAGCCGTATTTCCACCCGGATGCTAATGAACCAACACAGTAAGTAGAAATTTTTACCTGAGGAAAAACTTCAACCTAATGAGAAACATGTTAACGTAAACATTCCTTAAAACTGTTGGAGATGTGCCTCAGATGATTTTGTGTGACACTGAAAAGTTAGAAACTGAATGTATGACTTACGACAGTAGTGGGAAAACTTCTTTTCTAGACTACAGACTAATTGTAATAAGTCCTGTGTGGAATATGTAGGCATCTCATTCCTTACATCTGAAAAGCCTTTATATGTTGAGCTACAGAAAAGCCAACATAGTTTGCTGGCAGTAGACAGCCTTTTTAACTTGCAAAAGGCATAAACAACACTCAGTATTTTATGTGATTATATGCTGTGATCACACTGTATTAGTCTAAATTTAAGGCTTTTTTTTAATAATACAGTATTTGGGATTAAATATAGTATTGTTTTTGTCTCAAACAGCCCTTCTTTTTGATGATAAATCTGGCTCAGGGCACCCAAGGCACATTGGAAGTATTGATCCTTGCTGTGATGTTGTTGAAGTAGTGAATGGTATGTATTCTCAGATTTAACGTTTCTCTTCATGATCACTATTTATATCTGATTGCAAGCAATTTGGGTAACCAACATGTGTTGTATAGGATGCTGACTGTTTTTTATTGAAATAGCTGAAAGCAGTCTGTCAAAACATGAGCTTTCATAGGACAGAGTTTAAAGTACAAAGTAGCAGTAAAAAAATATGTTGGACTAAGGCCTAGCAAGCGACAGATGAGGTAGGAGTCAAAGTTGTCTGTGGTGTTGAGACTGGCCTTACCTACTGGTAGATAACGTGCATCTGTTTTACAGAATTACCAAATTATACTGAAGATTTACCCATGCTGCTGTAATTGCCTATTTATTCTCAGTTTTTAATGCACACAGTGGATGCAATCTTATCATTCCTTTGAAACACAGGCTTAGAGTCTGTAACACCTTAGCAGCTAATGCAGTTAAAAATCATATTTTGCCATGCATTAGAATGAATTTCTAGTGTTTGACATTACATTTCACATATTTTATTTAAATAAATATTTCAGATGCTTTTGAAAGTTCCAAGATGTTGTGTGACCAGTATTACTTAACATCTCCAGAACTGAAACTTACTCAAGTGAATGGTAAGATGAGAGCTTTTATGTCTATTTTTCAATCGGTAGCCAAACTGCTGCTTTTACTGACTCAAAAGGCTGCCATTTCTGTAGCCATAATGGTACAATACCAGTTGATCTGTCTTGGGCTAGTTCCTCTTCATTTTCTGTTATAAGCACCTCATTTAATCTCCTGTGTTAGAACTCAAATGTCATTGTATCTTAAACACTGGATTTCCTGAGGTAATATTTGTGAATTTGAGAGAAGTAAGACTAACGTGTACGTAAAGTAACATGATAAGTTGTTAGAGAGGAGCTCTGTATCTGGGGTGAGGAGGTGGGGCTGACTGAGAAACACTGATTCTGGTCCAAGCTGCCCGCATGTGTCTGATCTCAGGCAATCTGCTTAACCTCTAAAATCCTTTACTTACAAAACGGAATTAATACTTGATTTTTTTCAGTTTATTTGAAAATAAACCGTTATTAAGCAAGTGGTAATTACAATCTAAACACTGTTATGAGTGCATAAAGTTGTTTGCTCATTTGGGGGAAAAGCCAAAACTGAGACTTGATTTATTTTCTTGTTCTGGCATACAACTTGCTTATTGTAAAATTTGGATACAGTACAGAAAAATTCCATCACCCTTTTAAATCTTGCTTGTCTTTTTCCATTCCTCTAGGAAAACTTCCAGGAGAGCCAATTAACATTGTATATGTTCCATCTCATCTTTTTCACATGCTTTTTGAGCTCTTTAAGGTATGTCAGTATAAGCTGTTTCTTCCCTTAGTAGTCTGAGCTGGAGCATCAATATTTAAAATCTCTAGCTAGATCTGAATGAAGTAAAGCTTTGCATAGGACAGTGAGATTTCTAAAATGTTCTTACTTGGGGAAATAGCTTTGGCAGTTGGGAAAGGAATGATTGCAGTTTGTAGGAGAGTATTTGGACACTTCCGTGTGGTGGTAAATGGGACAGGGTAAGGGAGAGAGAGAGTAAAAGTAGGACATGGGGTTGTGACCACCACTAGCCTTCTGCTTTTAGGGATTACATCTGCAGTGCGGGTTTGCCCTGGTGCCTTTTCTGTGCAGTGGGTGATACATCTTGAAGTAGTGAACGGTACTGAACTAATGTGCTGCCAACATAGGGTGCAGAATTCCGGCAGCCTTTAGCAACTGCTGAGCTCTGTTCTTCTCCAGAAACCTGGTGACTCTTAAGGGAGTTGGGTATTTAATTTACATTGTCTGAGTTACATGTTGGGCAAGAACAGTGTAATCTTTCAAGCATAGAAGAGTCTTGGCTATGCGTAGTCATTTTTAGGTGTGAGACCACCTCTGCTCCTGTTACACTAAATCGCTAAGTGTGTTCCTTGGAAGCTAGGCACTGATAGGAATGGAGGGTAACTGTGCTCAGCCTCTGCATAACAGGGGTATGATTTTAAGTGCCTAGATCCAACGTTTTCTGATAATGGTAACCTTTATTTCCATAGAATTCGATGAGGGCAACTGTTGAATTCCAAGAAAACAGTCCTTCTCTTCATCCAATTGAAGTGACAGTTGTTCTAGGTCAAGAAGACCTGGCAATTAAGGTATTTTGTTGGCCTACTACAACATGGGCTTAATGTAATCGTTATGATTGCATATGCTGCAGCAAATTCTATTAAAAGAACTTGCAGCCTCTGACAACAGATCAAAGATACTATGCATGAGCCTTTTGTTGATAGCCTCCATTTAGCACAATTATTTAACTGAAAAATAATATGCTGCAAAACAAATGTTTGCATGTATTACATTACAATGTTGGAAGGGATTGTTCAAATAAGAGCATTTTAAATACCATTCTTAGTACGTGATTGTACTTAACTTTATTCTCTCTTAAATCAGATCTCAGACAGAGGAGGTGGTGTTCCAGTAAGGAAAATTGAGCAGCTGTTTAGCTACATGTATTCCACAGCACCAATGCCAAGGATGGATGATGCTCGAAATACCCCTCTTGTAAGATATTTCAATAGTCGTGTTACTAATAAGGTTGCTGTAAGTGTTGGGCAGATTGCTAGGTTAATAAATTATAAAGCGCTATGTCCGCCCTACTGCTTTTTGGGGTATGCAAAGATTGAGCCTTGTAAATATATATGAATTAACACTTTCTGAAACAGATTTTTTAATATCTAGCTTAGTGGACAGAAATAGGCTTTTAAAGGTATAAATTAAGAAGAACATTCCAACCTGAATCTAACCCTGTTTTTTTCTTATACTCAAATGACAGTAATTTACTTGGTCTTCATTCCCACTCAGTCCTCAAACTTATTATAAATTATGCTATCTTTATGTAGGCAAGCACAACTGGAATAGGCTTAGACTGTTGTTGCTTATCTACGAGTAGCAAACTCCTTTTACTAATCAAGCTGTACTAGTGAAAACAAGGCAGGGAAAGTACAGAAATGTAATGTGTAAAAGTAAGACGTGTATATAAACCCTCCCTCTTCTGTGGAGATTTGTTTTTTCTTTCTTGTGGTTCTGGGGTTTTTTTAATGGTCAGTTTCAATATTCTGTATGAAACTGTTCGGAGATTTCCATTTTCTTTTAACAGATGAGTAAGTGCAAAGGACTTTCTAACAGTTTAAAATCTCTGAACACTTTCCAGCTATTTAATTTTAAGTCATAAGAGCTAGTAAAAAACTAACTTTGTCTTGTACTTCAATTTTAGGCTGGCTTTGGGTATGGCTTGCCAATTTCACGTCTGTATGCTAAATACTTTCAAGGAGATCTAAATCTCTACTCCGTATGTGGTTATGGAACAGATGCTATTATCTACTTGAAGGTATGTATTTTGATTTGGTTAAATAAAAGATAGTGTTGATAACTACCATTAATGCCATGAAGTAACTACTCAGTATCATTTTAAGATAAACAAATTCTCTGCTCATGAGTAGAAAAGCTCTCATTCTTTATTAAGAAATGCCAGTAAGATTTGTAACTGGTATCTAGAATTAAAAAGGTCACTCGGCTTTAAGTAGTCTACTTGAATAGCTACTAGTGATAGCCCCATTAGTTTTTAGATGGTATTAAGATTTACTATCTGCTGGTTCATGGAATACAAAATACTGGGACAAAGTGGAGTAACAGAAAGGTGTGAGCAACTGTTCAGGTTTCTTTACTGTTGTTTCTTAACTCTGACAACCAGAAAGTCTGTATAAACTAATCCTTAAAGAGTCTAGCACCTGGTCTTGTCCAACATCTGCTATATAGCCCATATATGGGATTCAGATATCAGGAGTCTTGAATACCTGACATGTAAAATGCACTGCTATTTTAATAAGTAATCTGGAAAAAAGGACTACATACTCTTTTCTACTTTTTGCGCTTACTCATGGGAAAAACTTGCTTTGAATTTCTTCTAGTAAACCAAAACCATAGTTCCAACCGCACCGAAGCGCAACCAGAGAAGCAGTACAAAAGGAAGAGACGGTTAAGCTATATACATGTTGCATTTCTATTTAACAATTTCCCAATAGAACATGAATTTTTTTTAGCTGCAAAACACAGAAGTAGGAAAGAAACATATTTTAAAGTTTCTCTGGAATTTTGTAAATGAAAGTTCTTTTCCACGGCTTCCAGGACTATCTAGAAAACAGGTTACAAAGTAACTCTTAAGGCCTATAAAAATGCGTAAATATGGTTTGATGTTACTGCATTTGTCCTGCCAAATTATCCAAAGCAAACATAGACACTGAAGCACATAAATGACTGCATCTATTGTAACATTTGTGTGAATAACTTTGCTCTGTAGTGTCACTGGCTTAACACTTGAAACATACTGCATGAATTTTTGCAAAGTGGCATTATTGAGAGGTAGCAACGAAGTAACTTTTTTCCTTCTTGGTTTTTTTGGGTTTTTTTTTTAGGCCCTATCAACAGAATCAGTAGAAAAACTCCCAGTTTTTAATAAATCAGCTTTCAAGCATTACCAAGCTACCTCAGAGGCAGATGACTGGTGTGTCCCAAGTAAAGGCCCAAAGAATGTATCAAAGCAGAGTGCAGCTCTCTGAAGAGAAGTTGGTATCCAGGCACCCAAGGGGATCAAGCTGGCTTCTCAAAAAAGACTAGCGTTTGGAAGTATTCATCTTCCTCCAAACAAACAAATTCTTCAGTTTCAGGTCTGGCAGAAGAGAAAGAAGATAGGGATGTTAAAGCCTGGGCTGTATGCACTGAATGTGAAATCTTGCTGTGGACTTCAGGATGAGGAAAATAGGAGCACATACATCTTTAAAGAAGAGATGTCTATAGAGGAAAATGAGACTTTTTTTTTCTTTTCTTATGATCAAAGACTTGATGTGGTAGAGGTGTGCAATTTTTGAGTCCTGTTTAATGCTTGAATACTGATAAATGTCGGTTATGCTGGTGTATATTCTCCTAGAATAGTTATCAGCAGTTCATCTTATTACAGAACTTCTCAGGTAGATAGATAACACTTGTACTTTAAAGCTGCATTTATAACATTTGGAAAAGATCCACTTAACATGGCAGTCTTGTAGCAAGATACAAACAGCATTCAGATACAGCCTGACTGAGAGGGAGGGAGCCCTGGGAGGTAGGGAGAAAGTGTTTTCTGTATATAAGGAAGTCCCGTTTTAAAAAAAAAAGACTGTATTCCAGTAATAATTCTTATGTGATGCCTTGCTCTGTGAGTTACATTGCTAGATTTTTTTATGTTAAGCTCTTCATGGAAAAACTAGCCAAGTGAGGCTCCTATGCATAAGGTAACTAAGAAGGAAATTGAGATATTTTAGAAAGCTACTGCAAAGAAATGGAAAGCTACTTGGTTATAGCAGCTGTAAGGTTAGGCTACATCTAGCCTACATCCCTGCACTCCAGACAGCATGTGCCAAGTAAGTAGGTTAGGATTGTTCAAGAACTGAAGTCAGACATGCAAGTTGAACAGAAAGGTTTTGGTGATCTGTGTTATGTAAGCATGACGTGGGAAACAACAGCATGTTTAAAACATGGTCTTGTGATTCCTTTTTGTCATGCTGTTAGAAGATCAGTGGCTCAGTACACGAAACCAAAATCTGCCTATCGTCTCTGTCAAATTTGTATTGGACCACACTAGCTCGAAGAGGTACATGGAGATTCTACACCTTGAAAGCTGTGATGAGCACTGAAGGTCCATTTGAAAGGTTTTCAGGAAGAGTGGCATTGGAACCAGAATTTTATTCTAAGAACTATTCATTGCAATGGGAAGGGCTTAGGAAGTGAGCAGTTACAAAATATGAACAGCACTGAAAACTATAGAATAACTTTTATGAACAGCAAAATAATGGGGAATTGCCACAGGAACAGTGCCAGTGGGAGAGAGCTGTAGGGCAAATAAT